TTTTTTATGACATTACTGAAGGCATTTTTAGGCAGAAAATGCTTTAAATAATCCCTTACAAAATATTGAATGGGGTTATTGAAGGCGTTTCTGCCTAAAAATGCCTTGAATAATTCGTGGATTGGCCAAAAACGCCTTTAATTATCCCCTCAACAAAATTTTTTGTATGGATTATTAAAAGTGTTTATGGACAAAAACGTCTTCAATAATCCCTCCAAAATATTTTTTTATGGATTATTGAAGACATTTTTGGCCAAAAATGCATTTAATAATCCCCTCAAAAAAAATTTTGAATGAATTATTAAAGACATTTTTTGATAAAAACACATTTAATAATCCCCTTCAAATTTTATTGTATGAATTATCGAAAGCGTTTTTGACCAAAAATGCCTTCAATAATCCCTCTCCAAAATATTTTAAATGAATTATTGAAAGTGTTGTTGGCCAAAAACACCTTCAATAATGCCATACAATTTTTTGTTAGCCAATAATTTTTTGGTTTTGAGCCTATATTGATGGTTTTGTTAATAACCATCAGTATATAACATTTATATTGACAAATAGTAATATACTATTAGAAAAAATTATTTATACAGACGGTTAAATAACATGTTGGTATAAGTATGGTATATTCTAACGGTATTAAAAATCCATCAGAAAAAGTCTATTTTACTGACGAAATTTAATCGTCAGTAAATAATTCATACAAAAAATTTTATGTATGGATTATTAAAGGTGCTTTTTACCAAAAATGCCTTCAACAATTTCATTCAATTTTTGTAAGCCAATAGTTTTTTTGTCTTGAACCTATACTGACGGTTACGTTAATAACAGTCAATATATAACATACTTATGTTAACAGATAATCATATATCATTAGAAAAAATTTATTTATACTAACGGTTAAATAAAGTGTTGGTATAAATATGATATATTATGATGGTATTAAAAATCTGTCAATAAAAATCTCTTTTACTAACAAAATTTGATCGTCAGTATAACCAAGCGTCAGTATATAAAAAAAATTTTGTAGTGTAAATGAAAAACAAAGTTACCATTCCCTTTTGCCACACCAAATGAAGAACAGTTCCTATGAAGCAGCTTCTCTATCATTTACAGTGCAATTCTCTCCTCTTCATCCATTTCCCCTCTTAGTTTAAGTCCTACTAACCTTGGGGTCATGAAAGGCAATGCATTTGCAAAAACTTTAGCATTTCCTTTTCCAAGCTAGACAGTCATGACCCAATTGGAATCTAAGCTCTGGTTTGCCCCTTTTTGCCATACCCTTATAGGAGAATTCTCATTGTCAAGCCTCAAACAAGTCATACAAGGAGAAAGTGCCTTGTTACATTTTTTAAGCTTAAAATGAAAGAGTTCAGATAGCTCATTTGGTTGTGATGAATGGAGATTTTCAGTGCCTTCCGGGTTTCCACTTGGTGTTTGTGAAATTGGGAAGTCGATTTTTGCATTTCTGCCACTCATTAATATGGTTGCTTGATCAAAAACTCGGGCTGCCTCTTCAACTATTTCAAACGTACCTAGCCACACCCTTCTCTTTTTGCACTAAAATATAGCAAAATTAAAGGAGAAATGGTGCTATATTGGATATATTACAACAAATGAATGGTTATCAATCCCTTTTCTTTGAAACAAAAAATTTGCTAATTTTTAATTATGTTATTATGAATGAAAACTAGGAATCTCTTTCAAATTAAGTCCTATAGATTTTCTTATTCACCATTACACATGCATGTTTGTGCATTAGCATGGTCTTGAGTTCAAAAAATGCTTAGTGTTTTTTAAATCGATGACAAAATTATAACGTCACCTAAAATCAAAAAACGACACAAAAAAATTTCCCACAAAATAAATTTGCGGGAAAAGTTGGTGACATTTATATTATCATCATAAAACACCATACATTGACATGACAAAATTGTAATGTCATTAATAATTAATTAAAATGTTCAATTTATAACAAAAATTAATAATATCTCTTAAAATCTAATAGAAAAAATTCGTCACAGACAAAATTTAAATTGATGAAAAAATTATAACATCACCTAAAATAAAAAAACGTCACAAAAAAATTCTCACCAAATAAATTTGGCAGCAAGATTTTGTTGATATTATCATGTGATGATTTAATATATCGTCTTATAAAATATCAAAATAATATAAATGTGTGACGAAATATATTATTTATTATCTTTTACATACTTTGCGTAATAAAATATAATGCATTATTTAGAAAAATCAACACAATTTGTCAGATTTGTTGTAGTGAATGGCAGACACAAATAGACGTGGGATGCTACTAATATGGGGAAAAAATGGTTTGAAATAGTGTTACTGATGAAAAAGTTTGGATAGAGAAGATTGATGAAGCAGTGGAACCGGACAGGCTGGAGAAAGGATGGGTGCTTAGCTGGGCAATATGGCACACGCGCAACATGCTAGTTAAAAACAAAGGCGGAGAAACTCCACGAGCAACTGCAGTGTTTGATGCTAACTATATTGAGGAAATCAGAAGCGTCCAAGCTGTTGAAACCACTTCTACAAGCAACGCACTTGAGAGTTGGACAGCCCTATCACCAAACTACTATAAGGTAAATTTCGATGGTGCTGTTAACATACAAGAAGGGGTAGGAGAAGCGGGAGTAGTCATAAGGGACAGCAATGGAGAGATTATTGGGGCATCTGCAACAATCATCACGGGAGCTAAAGACCCGTTTGTGGCAGAAGCTAATGCAGCAGTTAAGGGTCTGGAGTTGGCAAGGGACTTGGAATACAAGCTGTAATATTAGAAAGGGATGCACTCGGAATAACAAACCAGCTCAAGAAACAAGGCCCAGACCTCTCCTACGTCGGACACATCCTTGACGAGGCTCGAACATACCAGAACCAATTACAGATAAGCAAAGTTCAATTTACTAAGAGGAAGACTAATTAAGCTGCGCACCTGTTGTTGGGAATATTGACTCAAATCCATAAGAGATTTGTTTGAGATTTTTCAGATATTGCTTGATGGACAAGAAGACTTGCAAAAGAAGATTTCTAAGAGAAAGAGGATTCTTAATAGGTAAGTTTGACTTGCAAGAGAAGAATTCTAAAAGGAAAGGGATTTTAATAGGCAAGTTTAACTTATAGGAGAAAATTCTAAGAGGAGAGGGATTCTTAATGGGTAAGTTTGTATGGTTATAAATAGGAAATCTCTACAGGATTAGGTATGAGAAAAAGATGTAAGAGAGTTGTAGGGTTTTGTGGGATAGACACCCATAGGAGTATTGGGGTTCTACGTCTTATGGTGTGTATGTTTGTTTGTGAGTGGACTAGAGGAGATTGAGAGGGTCCAAATAGGTATGGTGTATGGGAGCATATGGATATGTGTTTGGTTATGTTGAAAGGATGCACAAGGGTTTGAGTTTGTGTTTGTTTGGGTTGAGAATACTCCATAGGACTAGAGGAGATTGAGAGTGTCTTATGAGTATTGATTGTTGAGTGAGGTTGATGATTTGATGTAAGTTTGTAATTCTCTACAACTAGTGGATCTTGTTTCTCATCCGTGGATGTAAGTCAGTTGGACCGAACCACGTTAAATTGTTGTCTTTTATGTGTTTGATTTATTGTTTGATTTCGCTTCCGTTGGTATGATTGAATTGGAGGCTTTTAGCCCAACACCTGTTAGCTAAGCATGCTGTCAACTCGAAAACTGATTTGTATTGGGTTGAGGAAAGGCCACCCATGATTCAAACTATCATTATGTTTGAATGTAATAACATTTAAGTAATAAATGGAGAAGTTTATGATTTAAAAAAAAAATTAAAATTATTTGATATTGAAGTTTTTAATTTCACAAATAAAATTAAGATGATAATATCTATTTCATTTATTTTTTAAATATATACTAAGAGATATATGTCACCATCTTAATTTCATTTGTAAAATTAAAAAATTTCACTATCAATATATTTTATAATTTATCTTAAAATAAATGTTATATTCAAACGCATTTCTTGTTCTTTTAGACAATAAAGGAACTATTTAGTTCAGTTTTCAAAGAATTTTGAACAATTTAATAGGAAGAAATAGACAGATCATATCGCCTAAGAATGTTCTATATTGTTATTATTGGATTTTTTTTTTTCCTCAGTAGGTCACTCTGATGATAAGTACAAAAAATCAAAAAGCAAAAGAAGAAAATGAGATTATTGATAATAAACAAGGAGACTTTTTATTTATAATCTTTCTACCCCACATAGCTTGAAAAATCAATGTGAGAAAAAAACAAATATATCTCAGTCATTCTTAAAAGTTCAAGTTAATGGTTTGAAAGATCAATTTTTTAATTTTTAATTTATTTTTTTTATTTTCGATTATATGTTTATGAACATATTTATTTAACAATCATGAATAAGTTCATTTAATTTAAATGAAACAATCCTAAATTATACTTAAATATAATGTAAAATTTTTTTACTGAACACAAACTTAAAAACAAATTAACAAACCATGAATATAGTAATATCCATTCATAATTACTTTGTTTATACCGGCAACTATTGGTACTCATAAGAGAAAAGACTACGTCTTCTTTTGGTGTTCATCTCAAACCAAAGTAAACTAATTGGGAGTCGGGATAAGAAATAAACATTTTCTTCCTTCAAAATAGATCATAAATATAGTGAAAAATTTTTATATTTAGTTCGTTTATAATATTAAAATGCAAATGAAGAGAACATTTGAAAAACAATTCATAAATAGGTTTGGGTTTCGTTCATTTATATTTATTTATTAAATTTAATAAATGATCATAAATAATATTTTAAAATTTGTTAATTAAATAAATAAATCACTGGGTAATAAAGTTAGCTTATGTTCTATTTTTTATGCTGTTGCTGTTCCTTTCTACTCCTTTTCTTCCTTTCTAAAATTTAATGATTATGGCTGAATAAGCGATTTTGTTGATAAAGAAGTGACTTTGCAGGCCAGGCGAGGTTGAACATTAAAAATCCTGAATCAAGATTTACTAATGATGAAAATATTACAATTGAACGTACATTTTGTGAGTTGATTGTCCTATTACAGGAGCAATCAACACTTTCAGAAATGAGTGGAAAACTCCACCCTCATTTTATTGTAAACAATCGGCCTCCTATTATGACTTTGAAGTTGAATTATGAATGCTGATGTTTCAAATAATGCACCATCCTCAACCATCTACCGACATTGGAATGCAGCAGAATCAATACACTCCAAACAGTTGGCTGTGGTGCTGATTTACTCAGGTTTCCGGCAGGTAATGATAGCGAACTTGATCACGCCCTTCTGGTATCCTTGGATCATCAATGGCATCACCAATGCACCTTTTATGGTTTTTAATCCTAATCAACTCACAATATGAGCAAAATCAAGAACAAGAAAAGTTCCCTTTTAACCAAAAATTAAAAAATAAATTATTAAATCATATCCCCAAAAGTAGCAAGCTTATGTATGTGAGTGCATGCAAATATGGAACAAGACCTAGAAATCAACAAAAACTGATAATTCTTCTTCCCTTCACTAGCAACAGTTCCGGTAAATGAGAACTACCTTTAGAAGTATAATCTAATTTACTCCCATGCTCCTATCGGCTTGTTTAAAAGAGTTATTGTCATGATATGGTTCCTTTTCTTAATTATCCAAATGAAACTAAAGCAGAGAGGAATCTAAAATCTTGCAAATAGTGCTAGATTTAGTTACCACTGCGTAGCAGCGATATGAAGCCCTTCCATGTCAATGCTGAGCGTATCACTGCTGGCCAAAATGGTGCAACATGCTGAGACCAATCGTCAGCCTTTATATCCTGCATTGCAGCTTGTAAATCGATTGTGTTACAAGTGCAAAAGTAGACTTATTAACCCGGTATGACCGGATTGTTACAAACATCACATCTGCTCAGAGTTTTAGTCAGTCAGTCGGCAAAATTAACTAGTTTGTTTTCATCATGGTAATTAATTCAACTATTATATCTCATCAAAAGGTTATACAAGCATTTGAATTGAATGAAATATTGAATTTGAAAGAGGGTTTTAGCCTATTCAAGGAAGTAATTACCTGGAGAGATAGGGACTGAAGTAATTTGACATAATCAGAAGTAGAACACCACTCCGGTAAATAGTAAGCATTACATATCCTGTTAAGCAGCTTTTTCTCCCACGGCTGCAAAGACTCTTCAGATGGACCAAGATCCCTATGGCACCATGTCACTATTATTATTGTGCCTCCAGGAGCTGCAACTCGCACCAACTCATTAACAAACTGCCAGTTTTGGAGGCAGGGAAGAAATTAACATAAGATGATATAATAAAAAAATGAAGAAAATTCAAGCATGGATGCCAGAGTTCTATGTAGCTCAACAAGTCAAACTTGAAAGGATAACAACAAAATGTAACATATTAATTGGGACAAAGCAAACCTTAGCTTTTTCAGGCATGTGTTCTCCGCTTTCCATAGACCAAACTAGATCAAATTGCCCATCAGGGAATGGTTGGTTCAAAGCATCTGCAACTTGAAAAGAAACCTGCTAATATGGCAAAGTGTTATTTTAAGCATGTAGTAATATTAGAGCCATCTTTGCATCAACAAAATTAAATATATGCAAATATCACATAAACATGGGATTAGCATGGAGAAACAAAACCGCTTTATCAACTGAAGACGATTATGAAGTGATAATAATGTTGTCAATGTAAAATTTCCTTATATATGAACAGGATAAAGGCTTGACATGTAGAAAACTGAGAGTTTGCACATACGTTGTCCGCTAGTCCTTCAGCTTTAGCAAGAACATTGGCCCTTCCAGCTTGAACTTGGCTCAAAGTAATGCCTTGGCATTCTGCTCCATATTTCCTCGCTAGGTATCTAGAGCTGCCTCCTATCCCACACCCAACATCAACTATTCTCTTGGGCTGCTTTGCTGGGTCCTCTGAAAGCCAATTCAGAGGTAAAATCAATTGTTAGAAGTTCATCTTCATTTATGGTACCAGCCAACAAGGACCGACCGGGGGGGAGCATTCTATAGATCAAGAACAAACAGAGCTACAAAACTAATGAAATATGTTAATTTCGGCCATCAATTAAGGCTACGATTGGATGTAACTTTCAATGCGTATTTTTTCTTTTTTACAGTTTGCTTCCCAAAACTTACTAAACAAATTATATTTGACTAAAAAGGCAAATGACTAAAATACAATAAACATAATAATTCTGTATAAAAATAAAACTTTTTATTTTGTTCTCTAAATCAAATTTTTAATTTTTAGTTTTTCAAAAATATTTTTCCAATATTACAAATATCTTTTTTACTAAAATATTAACTATTAAGTCATACCTAAGTTGTTAGAAGTTTTTTTTTTCTTTTTTTTTTAAACAAAATCATATAAAACCCACATAAAACATAGTATTTGAAATAGATACAACAAACTCCTTTCTTAGGTAAAAAGAGACGTTCAATGTGAGCCAATCAACCCCTATTACGTAAATTAAAAGGACACAATTAATCAATTTAATTTGCAAAAAAATATGATTTGTAGCTTAATCTAATAATGTTAAACATAATACGGTATCATTTACGAAATCAATATGAAAATATATATTGATGTATTTATATGAATTTAATTTATAATTTTTTGAATTTTACACAAATTTAATGCAAATCAGACAAAATAAAACAAATTACCATTATCTTTTTGTAACCAATGGACAACAGAGAGAGTTAACTGTTAAGCCAAGTGGTCAGTTAAAGACATGAAAAAAAAAAAAAACAAATTGCATAAATCGGAAAGGAGACAGAATCAATCTTTGATACGTATGTGGCGATCTATAACTAGCTCCGGTCCAACTCTAACTTAGTATCAATTATTAAATTAATGTAAACATTGTGAAGAGATACATTGAATTTTTGTAAGTTGAATCTGTTCCTTTGGAGCCTAAAAATTGACCCCTAAAAAATTAATTTCAGAAACCTCACCCAATAGTGATAGAAACATGAACAAAATGGTTAAAACTGAGAAGCGGTCAGCATTCCACCAAAGTCTAAACCTTTCTTTTTTCAAAGAAAATTTCACCTGAATGTTTAAATTTGATCTTAATTCGACTATAGTTTAGAAATTGAAAAATAAACCTTTCTTTTCCAATTAAATTCCACCTGAATGCTTAAATTTGATCTTAATTCGAGTATAGTTTCGAAATTAACAAATAAACCTCTAATAAAATTTTAAAATAACCTTAATAATAAATAAAAGAAATTTGATAATTATCTTTGAAATTGTATACTGACTTAAAAAAATAATAGCTTAATGATTTTATCCTAATTACACAAAATATATATTTTTCATTTAAAAATTGTATTATTATTAATTTCTTTCGAAACTAACGATTAGAAAATAAACTCAAGACAATTTCTTCTTGAATTTTTCTTTTTCTTTGTCAACAACTCCTTTTTTTTTTCTTTTAACTCTTACAAAACCCATAATCAAAACTCAAAATTAAACCCTCAAGATCATATATGATTTTTTTGTTTTTGCTCGTACTGACAAAATTATTAACAAATTCTAACGACAGGACTTACATGTTCTGTCAAATAAATTATAATAAAATAAATAAATAACCATTCAATTTTAAGAGTTTTTTTTAAATATTAATTTTTTAATTTAATTATTTAATTGTAAGTAAATTTTTTTATTACTTAATCATTAAAAACTAACGAAATGCTAATGTGATATTATCAAATGATACAAGTGTCACATGACACATTCATATTATCTAACAAGTTATGTGACATTATTGATGTTACATTATAAATTTTAAAATAATAAATAAATTTCGATCATTTAATTTTTTTAAATTTTTATTTTGATTATTTAACTTTGAAAATTTTATGATTTGGCCACAATAATAATTTTTCAATTTTTATAAAAAATAAAAATAAACATTAATAATTTTATTGCAAGAAATTAAATTATAATTTTTATTTTATTATATTATATAATTTAAATTTAAAAATAAATGAATATTATCTAATTGTCAAAATTATTAAAATAAAATTACTTTAAAATTCAATCAATCTAAATAAATTTAAGTAAGTATTTGATATTTTATACTATCAAGCTTCTAATTATAATAAAAATTCATAATCTTAATATAAAATTTTAAATTCATATTTTTAATTTAGAATTTAAAATTATATTCTTACCATACAATAATATTAAACTAAACCTAATAAATTCTCGGTTCTCCTTGCAGATTTAAAAATTTAAAAAAAAAAAAAAAAAAAAACCTTAATAATTATTTTTTTCTTGTAATTAATTAAAATCATAAATAGCCGTCGTTCGGTCAAGCCATTTGCCAGTTGCAGACTTTTAGAGATCTCCGTCTGTAACTCCTGACGTTGAGACTATCGTCTTAACCAAAAATAACGATAAATTCCACAACATAACCATCTGTCCATCAGAAAACCGACACGTGGATTGAAAATATACAAAGAAAACGAACCCGATATTCCAGCGAAACGGAGCGATTCTTCGATCATTCGGATCTGGGCGGCTCGATGATCGGTACCCGAAACATTGGAATCGGGGTCGTAAAAGCCATGGTGCATATGGTCACCCCAAATGTCTTCCCAAAGCCCAGACGACTTGTCGTAAAATTCCGCTATCCCAACCTGCAACGCACGTCCGTCGGGCGTGGTCGAGGCAGCCGCCTTGACACGTGTGGCCATGAAGCGTGCGTCAGATTGACACCTGCGGGAGAAAGATGAGGAAGGAAATGAAACCGAAGGACGTGGAGGATGAGAGCGTTGCCACTTGTAAGGGAAGTAGGGGAGCGGGGAATGGTAAGCATGGAACACGGAAGCCATTTACTTATAGGTTTTTTTTTTTTTTACAGTCCTCCTTGGTTCAGTTATTGTGGTGGCAATTTTGTGATTATAGGAGTGTTGGGAGGGTAAAAGGAAGAGCGGTGAGGTTGGTGGGGCGTCGGAATAGAGGAAACGATTGACAAAGAGAGAAGGAATGTTGGGACGGGGATAGCGTCGCAATAAAAGTGTGGCACAATTAGGAGGGGCTTTGGATAGGGAATGTACGTGGGAATATTTTTAGGTGTTTTTCTAAAAAAAGAAAAAAGAATATTCATCTATAACATAATAATATAATAAATTTAAATGTCAATAATGGTAATAAATTCATAACGTACGAGCATGAAATATTAGGCAAATATTAAATGCCACCACCTTTATTGTTAATATACAAACAGTGGCTTTCACAGTAACATGCTATGCGGAAAAAGTTTTTGAAGAAATTATCAAAATCATAACATTAAGATATCAATTACAAAATTAAAGCTAAATAAATTTTTTTTCATTTTTTTAAGACGGGACAGTTATGTATAAAACATTTTCTTTTGTTTTCACAAATAATTTAATTCATTATAAAGTTAGTTCTTGCTATTAGAAACCAAATCCCAAAAATTTTAGTATGAGACATTTTTGTAAATATTTTTTAATTCAGTGTAGATACTATTTGATGATTTTAGTGGGTAAGTTATTAGGTTTATAAATAAAAAATTTTTAATAAAATTAGGAACAATAGAAAAATATAAGGAGGATTGCAGCATTTTGTGCAATTAAATGTGTAGACATCTCATAAAATTCAAGGAAAATGAAAGTGTTTATGGGCATGAATGTTTTATGATTATTTGATATTTAAATTGAAATTGTTGTATTTGTGAGTTGGGTTGATGCGCTTTAAAATATAAAAATACAATCTAATTTTTTGAAGCATTACTATGATTAAATTCAAAACCAAAAATCAATATGCAAAAGTCTAAGGACCCAATGTAGATTTGAATTAAAACTGTCATAAATGAGATTATAAGTACACATATTCAAGACTGTTAATAGCAACTAACTAGAAAGTAATTTTGCCAACTCAACCTTCTTTCAACGGCAAAAAAGAGGCTTTGGAATTTAAGGTCTCCCGTAATTTTTTTTATTGAGATATGTAATTTTAAATTAAAAAAAATTAGAAATAGGTATAATTAAAAAATAATTAGATAGTATCCCACACGTTACTGTACTTCAACAATAACAATTAAAAGCACTAAAATATATTTGTACGTATTTGTTTTATTAACCTATGAATTATTAAATTTTTTAAAAACAAACGTGAATATCTGTCATGAACAAAAAAAAAATTGAAATGGGTTTAAAATTTTTCTGCACAAATCAATAAATTTATGATCAAATTTTTTCAATAGCTTTCGAATTTGTAAGTTAGGTTTTTTAATTGATGGATTTTACAAAAGAGAATTGTAAATTAGTGAGTATATTCATAAAAAAATTTTAAGAATTTAAATAAAATGATAAAAAAATACTTACTAATTGGTGAATATTTGTTTAAAGAAGCAAAATTTGAATGAAAATTGAAGGATTAAAAATGGGTAATTTTTTTTAAAGATTTTTTTATAAAGGCTTTTGGAAAATAAACAATATTAAATAGATTAACAAAAAAAACAGTTAGATAAAGAAGAAGAAGAAGAGATTTCATCATCTTTGGGTTTAATGAATTAAACTTTTTAATTCCTCTTCATGAATCGATTAATTGTGATAATGGGAAGAAAATTTCAATAATTACTGAAATTAAATACTTGTTTATTTGAACATTCTTTTGAATAATTGTAGAATTTTAATTTGCAAGTTGAAAGATCAAACCAATTTGTAGAGTTGAACAATCAAACAAATAAGAAAGATTTCTCTAAAAATAAGAAAATAGCTTATTTATGAAGTTGACACATGATATCTTTTGAGAAAATTTTATCATTAAATAAAATTATTTTTACAAAAGAATTCATAATTTGATAGGGGAAAAAATTATAAATTTTGAATTTTGAATTTTAAATTTTAAATTTATTAAATGTGATTTTTTTTAAAATTATTATATAAATTAAATATCGAATTCAAATAAAATGATTATTTAAACTTATTATATATCCTCAAAAAAGTTGAGCATTAATAATTTATTAAAATTTTTGAAAACTATTAAAGATAGAAATAACAATTATTGTCCTCAAAACGAACTTAGGTAAGATCTTGAAAATGTTGACAATGCAAGAACATTCGTCTATAACATGATAATATAATAAATTTAAATCTCAATAATGGCATTAAATTCATAACGTACATTGTCTAGCATGAATTAGGCAAATATTAAATGCCACCAATTTTGTCGTTAATATTAAATGCCACCACCGCTATTGTTGATATACAAACAGTGGCTTATGTCAGTTCTCGACATGATTTCACAATATCATGCTATGCGGAAAAGTTTTTGAAGAAATTATCAAAATCATAACATTGAGATATCAATTACAAAATTAAAGCTAAAATTTTTTTTTCATTCTTTTAAGACGAGACAGTTATATATAAAACATTTTCATTTTGTTTTTACAAATAATTTAATTCATTATAAATTTAGTTCTTGCTATTAGAAATCAAATCCCAAAAAAATTAGTATGACACATTTTTGTAAATATTTTTTAATTCACCGTCTATTTGATGATTTTAGTGGGTAAGTTATTAGGTTTATAAATAAAAAAAAATTAATAAAATTAGGCATGATAGAAAAATATAAGAAGGATTGTAGCATTTTATGTAAGTAAATGTGAAGACATCTCATAAGATTCAAAGAAAATGAAAGTTTTTATAAGCGTGAATGTTTTGTGATTATTTGATATTTAAATAAAAATTATTGAATTTGTAAGTTGGGTTGATGCATATGCAATTTAAAATAAAAAAAATATACAATCTAACTCGTTGAAGCATTATCATGATTAAATTCAAAACCAAAAATCAACTAATTACTGATATGCTAAAGTCGAAGGACACAATGTAGATTTGAATTAAAACCGTCACAAATGAGATTATAAGTACACATATTGAACACTATTAATAACAACTAACTAGAAAGTAATTTTGCCAACGAAACCTTCTTTGGACGGCAAAAAAGAGGCTTTGGAATTTCAGGTCTCCGGCAATCCTTTTTATTGAGGGTTTGAGACATGTAATTTTATATTAAAAAAAAAAACTAGAAATGCGTACAATTAAAAAAATAATTGATAAGAAATTGGTATTAAATTTGATAGTAAAAGAATAATAAAATAGGGATAGGAAAAGAGTAGCAAGATTGTTTTATTGACAACAAACCATGTCAAAGTTTTACCAAAAAAAGGCAAACTATGCATGTGAGAGATGGTGGTGCTTGAGAGTTCCCACAATCTTTTAACTTTGATATATTTATAAATACATAAAATAACCTATTTATTAAAATAAATTTTTATTTTTGTAATATTTGAATAAAATTGATAAAAAAAATTACCATTAAACCTACTTTAACCATTATTGTGAATTAGTTGCTTACAAGCTCAAGTGAATTTGCAGTCTTCGACATCCTTTCACTCGATTTAAAATTTTATCATTAAAAAAAATTATTTTTATGAAAGAAATCGTAATTTGATAGAAAAAAAATTTTAAATTTTAAATTTATTGAATATAATTTTTTAAAAATTATTCTATAAATAAATTAAATTAAATTTTAAATTCAAATAAAATAATTATTTAAACTTATTATATATCCTAAAAATGTTTTGCATTAATAAGTTATTAAAAGTTTTGATAATTATTAAAGATAGAGACAACAATTGTTGCCCTCAAAACCAACTTAGATCGGATTAGATCTTGAAAATGTTGACAATACAAGTTACGTACAGAACTTGTGTGGAAATGATGTTGAGGTATGTAGAAAGGAAAGGGAAAGATAAAAGTTGTGGTGACTACTTAAACTTTCAATCAAAATATCTCAAAAACCACACAAAAAAATCTCCAAAACAGTTGCATCTGATTTTTTTTTCTTTTTGTGGTTGCATGTTGCTATTATTCAGAAGTATGATGGTATCAAGATTCTAATTAAAAAAAAAAAAAAAAAGAAAGACTGTGGGTGAATTCATGTCTTTGGCTGACTTTTTTTTCAAAGATTGTATATTTTTAGGTCCATCTAAAACTTATAATAAGACAATATACATTATAAAATAATTTAGAGATAATGTTTTAACAAACATGCACGTAGAAATTGAATGAATATTATATATATCATATATATATATATATATATATAATCCATGTAATAAAAATTAAAAGTGTAATTGATCGAATTTAAATCGATACAATATTAAATTTGAACTTGAATTCAATATCAAATTTAAGGTTCGAAACTCAGTTCAAATTAAATTTTTTTTTTTTAATTCGGATTCGACTTGAGATAGAAATGAAACTACTCGAATTCGTTCGACTAAATTCAAATAACATGTAAAAATAAATTTGATTTTTATATTCGATAAAAATTTAATTATTTGTATTCAAGTTTGAATTTAAACTCAAATTCAAAATATTTTATTAATAAAAATAATTAAAATATATTAAAATATAAAAACTTGATGAGACTCGTAAATTATAGAAGTCGAATATAAAAATATTTAAATTTGACTCAATCGATAAATCGAGTTATTCGAATTTAAGATTAATTCGATAATAATCAAATGAAATTTAAATTTTATTCGAATCAAACTTAAATAATTTATGAGTATTAATATATTATTTATATTCTTAATAAGGATCAATCATTTCTTTTATGATATTATGATTGTAATATCATATATATTATTATACAGTGACATATATAAATGCAAAGGCTCACAGGCATTTTCAAATTTTAAAAATTAAAAAATTAATATTTCAAAAAAAATTAATATTTCCAAAATTTTCTCTGAATATATCTTTTTTAATTTTTTTATTTTTCATGTACCATTACTATTTAATATTTAATCATAACTCATAATCGATTAAGAGTCAGCATCCAATAAATATCTACTACAATAAATGAACGTACCATGAACATACAAAAAAACAAAAAAAAGGAAGCGGCTATTATTATTATTATTATTATTATTATTATTATTATTATTATTGATAAAGAGCCATACT